AATTTCGGAGATGGATTTAAGAAGTGATAACTGCAAGTCTGAACTTCCCTCATAATTTTATTTCCATTGTGACCACTCTCTCATGATTGAATTTAAATCCTGGGCATTAAAAATTCACACAAATCCTTTACTTGAATTCCAAGAAAATCTTCCCAGTACTGATTTCGCATTATACAGTTGTATTATGCAATATACTGAGGTACTGAGATGATCGTAATATTGAATATCAAAAAAGGTCACCAGGATTTTCAAAAAATAGAAATCACTGCGAACAGGTGACTCCACTGAATGCGAAAAACAAGATTATCCCCTGGATTATTCATACCCCACGTGATACAAACTACTTGAGAGCTGTATAAATATCCATTAATCTGCATTTTCACTCCACAATCGCATTGTTATTCTCTTTTTTCCAATTAACGTGTTTTTCAATCTCAGCTCGTGTGAAAACAAATGGAGCATCGAAAGTGAGAAAAGATAATGGAAAAAAGCCCTCCAAAATGAAAGGTTGAATCGACGAATGGAGCAGAATTGCAGTGTCCTTGACTCATCACCGAGAAAAATAAGTGAATGAAAAAAACCGCTCTGTATTTAATTTGTTTTCCGAACAGAGGAATGTCAGATCACAAGCCAAAGTACATCCCCAGGTAAATATGCATAATCCTCAAGCAGTAAAGTTTATAAATACAAATGCTTACGCCAACTGCACCCACGTCGTGTACTTAATTAAACAAAAATCCGAGCACTCTTATCACTAGTGCCTGCTATATCTCCTCCCCATCCACACTCGCAAAGCGAATTAATTCCCGAGAAAGTATCAGCCGGCAATATTCCCCGATAATAATTGACTCACGTAAGAATTGAGTTTAGAATCCCCAGACAAATAGTCGACTTCAGAAATTATTTCTGGATCATTGACTGTGATAACAACACTGAAATAATCCCCGACAGACGGCTGTTTACCCTCTATACTTCCACCAACAAAATTACAATTATCACCTCACAAAGTCCCCCCGAAGGCCCTTCAATTCCCGAACTCGACACTTCATTCGCAAACAAAAATGCGAAAAAATTATTCGACAGTGCCGGGGAAACTGGGGCAGTGGGATAGACCGAACAATTCCCCTGATCTCATAAAACTCAAAATGTCATTCCTGATTTATTCACTGTGACGATCATCTTACTGCACTGTCAGCGGCACAAAATGTTCAGTCGCACTGAGTCCTCGCGGTAGCAAAAAAATCACTCGCAGTTCTAAGCACAATCGACTGTATTTTCAACGCTTCATCGTGAGAAATACACAAGCCAAAGTACATGCCCAGGTAAATGTCCATAATCCTCAAGCAGTAAAGTTTATAAATACAAATGCTTACGCCAACTGCACCCACGTCGTGTACTTAATTAAACAAAAATCCGAGCACTCTTATCACTAGTGCCTGCTATATCTCCTCCCCATCCACACTCGCAAAGCGAATTAATTCCCGAGAAAGTATCAGCCGGCAATATTCCCCGATAATAATTGACTCACGTAAGAATTGAGTTTAGAATCCCCAGACAAATAGTCGACTTCAGAAATTATTTCTGGATCATTGACTGTGATAACAACACTGAAATAATCCCCGACAGACGGCTGTTTACCCTCTATACTTCCACCAACAAAATTACAATTATCACCTCACAAAGTCCCCCCGAAGGCCCTTCAATTCCCGAACTCGACACTTCATTCGCAAACAAAAATGCGAAAAAATTATTCGACAGTGCCGGGGAAACTGGGGCAGTGGGATAGACCGAACAATTCCCCTGATCTCATAAAACTCAAAATGTCATTCCTGATTTATTCACTGTGACGATCATCTTACTGCACTGTCAGCGGCACAAAATGTTCAGTCGCACTGAGTCCTCGCGGTAGCAAAAAAATCACTCGCAGTTCTAAGCACAATCGACTGTATTTTCAACGCTTCATCGTGAGAAATACACAAGCCAAAGTACATGCCCAGGTAAATGTCCATAATCCTCAAGCAGTAAAGTTTATAAATACAAATGCTTACGCCAACTGCACCCACGTCGTGTACTTAATTAAACAAAAATCCGAGCACTCTTATCACTAGTGCCTGCTATATCTCCTCCCCATCCACACTCGCAAAGCGAATTAATTCCCGAGAAAGTATCAGCCGGCAATATTCCCCGATAATAATTGACTCACGTAAGAATTGAGTTTAGAATCCCCAGACAAATAGTCGACTTCAGAAATTATTTCTGGATCATTGACTGTGATAACAACACTGAAATAATCCCCGACAGACGGCTGTTTACCCTCTATACTTCCACCAACAAAATTACAATTATCACCTCACAAAGTCCCCCCGAAGGCCCTTCAATTCCCGAACTCGACACTTCATTCGCAAACAAAAATGCGAAAAAATTATTCGACAGTGCCGGGGAAACTGGGGCAGTGGGATAGACCGAACAATTCCCCTGATCTCATAAAACTCAAAATGTCATTCCTGATTTATTCACTGTGACGATCATCTTACTGCACTGTCAGCGGCACAAAATGTTCAGTCGCACTGAGTCCTCGCGGTAGCAAAAATTCACTCGCAGTTCTAACCACAATTGAATGCATTTTCAATGCTCGATCGTGAGAAAACCCCGCGACGGGCGACAAATGTCAACGATGTGCGCATAGAGTGGCGCAATGTTTACGATGCCCACACGCGCTATTGGTCCACCAGTCAAATGAGCCGAGAGTTCTTCGTAACCCAAAAACTCGTTTCCCATGCGCATTCCCAAGATACAATAGGTCGTAACTGTAATATTGAATTTTTATCGAGGATCGGGCGATCTAAAACGAATATTTTACGGCAACTTGAGTAGCTTCACGCGCCCCCGGATGTTCAGAATTTTTTCTGAACAGTTTTTTTATTCATCCTCACTGGGAAAATGCGTTTTTACAATCGCGAGGGGCCGCACAGCCGATTGCAAAGCTCTCGGGGATTTATGAGAATTTATCATCGATTCTGGGGCGATTTGTCGATCGCGGACACCGTCTCACTAATTCGATCAACGAATTTACGGAGTAACCGAGGCAAATACCGGGGTTTAGCATCGGCGTTCTCTGGAGATTGGGAAAACAGACCACGAGGCGAACTGCACGTATTTATTTTATCCTGTGCGCAGGTGCTGTGGGCTTAATCGGTAGGTGGTTTCCACTACGCCACCTCATGTCCGAACCGTTGTTAGGAGCAGGAGGTCTGTCTATCGATAAAGAGGACGTTTAGACGGAAATTTAGAATTTTTGGGGGCTCAGAGAAATTAAAAAGGACTCGGTTGAGCCCTCTTTCCTTTCCTCATTCGAATGGTTCATCCACTGCTGCAGTCCGTTATATTTCTGAGGGGATAACAGAGAGTCGGACGCTCGCATGGTAAGGCATTGCCGATTATGAAGGTTTCTGCTAAAAATGTTGTTTTAGTTTTCAAGGATTTCGGGGTTTTTGGGGACGACACATCCACTGGGGCTCGAGTGGGGGATTCTACTAGTAAAAATTATTATTAAATTAATTCATGTTGTATCATATTAAATTATATAATTTTTTAAATAGAAAATATACTAGACTGCACGGTAGTATATTTTCTGCAGCTCACGCTTATTTAGACATTTAAAAATGTCTTCAACATTTAAAAATGTTAATTAGTTTTCAAGGATTTCGGCTCGATTTCGGGGTTTTTTGGGGACGACACATCCACTGGGGCTGGGGTGGGGGATTGTATCAGTAAAAATTATTATTAAATTAATTTATGTTGTATCATATTAAATTATATAATTTTTTAAATAGAAAATATACTAGACTGCACGGTAGTATATTTTCTGCAGCTCACGCTTATTTAAACATTTAAAAATGTTAATTAGTTTTCAAGGATTTCGGCTCGATTTCGGGGTTTTTTGGGGACGACGCATCCACTGGGGCTCGAGTGGGGGATTGTATCAGTAAAAATTATTATTAAATTAACTTATGTTGTATCATATTAAATTATATAATTTTTCAAGTAGAAAATATACTAGACTGTGCTGCAGTATATTTTCTGCAGCTCACGGTAGTGAGAAAAATTCATTGAAGTTATTACTGAGAATGGAATGTGGTCCATTCTATTCAATACGTCCCTATAATTTTTTTGCGGGAAGCGTCGGAGGTTGTTGTGTGGCTAATGTCCTTGCAAAAAAGTCGGAAGATTGTGAATTTTTAAAAATACGTAATACGGATCTACGCGTGGTACGCATTTCTGGTTGAAAATTACATCATTGTTGTCGTCAATATCTGTTTTCAGTGTTCCCTTTTGTGGAAAAATTCAATGGAAAATACAAACGCAATTGCCAGCAACTCCGTTGGAAATTCCATCATTTTTTGCTGATTTCCAATAAAAATTCCGCTTTTTTCGCACGTTTCATCATCAGGGGAAAACTATTCAGTTGAAAAAACCGATAAATTCATATCTTTTTATAAATCTCATTTAGCTCAGACTCCCAGAGATTCCTCGACATGAATTTTTCACGTGTTTCCATCTTCCATTTCTTGTAAATGGAATATCAAGTGAACCACACTATCAAAGACATAAAAAATTGACTCGGAGAATTTTCCAGATCAAAAATGAACGCAATAATTCGCCCAGAAGAACAAAAATTCGTAGATAATTCCCAACAGAATTTTTCTACTGAAAAAAAACTTCAACAGATTCAACCCGAATTTTCTATTGGAATTTTCCACAAGTGATAGAAAGGTGAATAAATTCAACTCAACCAGACGATTTATCACTCCCATTTCCACTCGCATATTTAACATTCACTTCACGAGCCTAAAAAAATTTCAGTTAACAATAAACCCATATTTTTCATCACCATTTCTAAAACCTTCAGAACCCGACGAGTGCCTACAGTCTGGACATTAGCAATACAACTCCCTCAAAAAAAAAAAAGAATGAAAACTAAAAAATCATAAAGTACTCACTGTTGGACGCCAAGTGTGCCTGATGTTGTGCAGCAGTTCTCTAAAACATCCAATTAAACCCCACAATTACAAAAAAATCCCCACAAAAGACCTCATAATTAAAAAAACCAATAAAAGCACATTTTGTAAAATCAGCCGTATACCAGACGTTTCAAGGCTCTTGGAGTCTAGCGATCTGCTCCTTGGTTTGGCCCCAAAATAATCATCCTTTTTCCCACTCTTAATCCACCGAAAGTACGAGGACATTGTTTACCCCACGATCGCCCCAACTAGACCCCCAAAAATCCAACGCCAACGAATAATCCCCCAATCACGTTTTTCAATAGTTTTTCAATCACAAGGCGCGAAGGACTCGGCATTTCCACAAATTACATTAGATACCCAATGCTGTCTCTCCACCGCACCCAATGCTACTGAGCTCAACCGCCCCTGAGCACATTCGGTACATCAAAAGAAATGTAAATATCTACACCGCGATTCAATAAAACCGTGCATGTTTAGCAGGTGCGTAGCACGAATGTAATCGTCACTCCACAGTCACATGATAACTCGCGACCATTGATTTACATAAACCCAGAGAAATGAAGGCTTATCTGCACTCCATCCAACACCCAACTGATTCAAGATTTATTCAATTCATCTGACCGATAAAAGTCCCTGTCAGCTGGTGATTGACCTTCATGACGTGAATCGCGTGAGTTGGATTTTTCAATTATTGTTGTTTGATGAATTTAATGAGTTAATAGCTGCCGTCAAAACCACTAATGACAATGTCTATTTTTATAACTGAAAAAGAACGTTGAATTTTATTTTTAATATGCGAAAGGAAATGGAAGAAAAATAGAATGGCAAAATATTCTCGAAATAATGCTGAAGAATAGAGTGAAAAAGTGTGAATGCAGTGATCTCAGTTAGTGATATCGATAGTCACCCCTCTGAGCCAGATAAATTACCATTGTAAATGGCGCATTGTTAGTAACCTCGTGTGACATTTTTGTATGACAATGACACGTGAAAGAGGAGTGGAGGATGTTAATGTTTATTTTTGCGACGAAATTCCGAGAGGAATAAGAACAATCGGGGATTTATTGACAGAAAAAAAAATGACTTCGACGAAATAGATTGCACCAGATTTCAAGTCAATATCGAAGAGTTTAAAATAGAATAGATGAAACGATTTTAATCTCCTCCAGGGAGTTTTATCTGCTATTGATAACGAGAGTGAGAATCACAAGGCCAATTAAGATGATTCTCCGAGACTAATAGAGCCGGATTTGTCGATAATTATCGATAACCGTTGAGGGGGGGAATTTAATAATGTATCGTCGGCATTTAGTACGCGGAAGTCGAGTGTCTGATGTCTGCCGAGTCACTGAGCAACGTACGATCGTCTTGAGTACTCCAGATCTTGCGTTCCACCTCTCTTTGAACATATGCACAGTTGAAGTAATGTAATACAATACGTTGCGTTGTTTTTTTTTTCTAGTGTATCATGGGTTTTTGGTTTGCGGAGGAGTAATTAGGCTTATGGAGTGGGTGAAATAATTTTTACGACTTCGTGTTTTGATGATAAAAAAATGAAATACTAAAAATAAACAGCATTTTTACTGTTGTAGATAATTATTGAGCGAAAACATTCGATGATTATCAATTTTTGTTGGAACTGATTGATTTTTTAACAAAATCTAGTGAAGGAATCGATGAATAGGAATTAATTTTCTAGTGTAATGGGTTTGTGGTTTGTGTAGGAAGAATTAGCCTTGTGGAGTGGTTGGAATTATTTTTATAAGTTCATTTTATGATTTTAAAAAATTAATTGGTCAATATAAACTGGAGTTTTTACTGTTGTTCATGATTATTGAGCTGTTGGATTCAATAATCGTGAATTTATTTTGGAAATAATTAACTTTCGAAGAAGAGCAAGTGAAGAAATTGATGAATTGTCAGCAGAAACTTCTTCCACAAGGAACTGATTATGGACATCATGTGATATGTGCGAAGGAATGCAAAATTATACTCTTTTTTATTCTTCCATACAGAATAAACTAATTTTTTGACAATAAAAATAGGCCTTTCGTTTCTGCAGGAAGAATTATCCTTGTGTAGTGGTTGGAATTATTTTTATAACTTCATCTTTTTATTTAAAAAAATGAATTGGTCAATATAAACTGGAGTTTTTGCTGTTGTTGATGATTATTGAGTTGTTGAATTCAATAATCGTGAATTTATTTTGGAAATAATTCATTTTCGAAGGCAAGCAAGTGAAGAAATTGATGAATTGTCAGCAGAAACTTCTTCCACAAGGAACTGATTATGGAGATCATGTGATATGTGCGAAGGAATGCAAAATTATCCTCTTTTTTTGTTCATCCATAAGGAATAAACTAATTTGTTTCGTGTGAAAAAAATGAGATAATTTTGATAATTGAATTTTCTGACAACAAAAATATGAAATACTAAAAATAAACAGTCATCGATAATTATTGAGAGAAAACATCCGATGATTATCGATTTTTCTTGGAACTGATTGAATTCCGAAGAAAAACTGATAAAGAAATTAACGAATTTCGACAAGAGACTTCTCCCCTGAAGGAAATAATTATCAAGATCATTCGAAAATCTAATGATGGAATTAATGAACTTCCACGAGAAACTTCTCCCCTGAAGGGAATTACTATCCAGATTATTCGATAAAAAATTATCTTCTACTGCGCCCATCTAGACTCAACGGCATAACAACGTTTGAAAATAAACAGCACCTCAAAATAGTAAGAAAAAGAGATGATGATACTGTTGATAACGTAGACACGTGGTAGATAGCTTTGAAAATACTCACCGCCTTGCGTTTGTCCTCAGAACTGATAGCACTGTGACTGCGATGTCTAATGAGATCCATAACTTTACTAACGGGATTTCTATTTGACTCAGAGCCCGATCGAGATCTTGATATCTGCTCCTTGCTGTCTTTGTGGTCTTTGTGGTCCTTCTCAGTGCGTACATCGTTCGACGAACTCCCGTGAGATCCTCTGTACAACGAATTCTTGAAAGGAAAAACAACATTCGTCATATAATTTATTTAAATTTATTCAGAGATACTAGTTTCATGCTGAAGGCATCTTCAGAATATTTAATTCAAATACTTCAAGACAATAACATCGCAATTATTTGACTTTATTATTGTCTCAAATAAGATTATTGTATGGAACAAACAATTTGGAATTCAGAAAATGCTCAAGGCTTTCCTAATTATTCTTTTATATTCATTAAAAGTAAATTATTGATTTCATTTTTCTATACGTGGAGGCTGCGGCAAATAAATAAATGACGAAACAACTCAATGAATGAATTAACGAATGCATAAATAAAGGAATTAAATAATTAGAATTTGTTTGATAAATAGTGAATGAATTTGAAAATTAATATCTCACTTGCACTGCAGTCTTCATATTAGCAATAATACTGGGTTTCCTTGTCTTGCTGGCATCAGACTTACTCCTGGGACGGAAAGCATCAAAGAGAGCATTTTTTCTCGTTGGACTAACTGTATCATCGCCACTTTTTCTACGTTCTACGCTGTTGCTACGACTATTACTTCGACTATTTGAACTAGATCGTACTCCCGATGTTTTTCTTCCAACGACTTTCATCGTGGTAGAGGAGCCCGATGGCTCTGATTGTTGAGGAAGTGGTGTTGATTTGCCTGAGCCCGGAGCACTGCCCGACGCTGGCTTTCTGATCGGCCTCGAGTGTGAGCCCCATGTGCCTGTGAGAAATTACAATCATCATTGGCTTTTTAAATAGATTAAGTGGTGACACAACGGCAATTATTAATAAAAATTAATAAATGTTAATTGTAATTACAAGGACAATTAGTTGTAATTATTTTACAACAATTGCGAAGACTATAATTAGTAAATCTCGGAGAACTGAGAGATGTTAAATGCAAAACAGTGAAAATAGCGTAAATCAACGAAAATAATTCAATTCCATTTTATTATTGTCAATGCTTACCAGCACGTGGTCTTGTGCCTTGATCATCAGACTTTTGACCAGAATTGTCGGCATCCTCAGTGACAATTGTTGGCAGCGGTTGGGATCCGAGTTCCTGAAAATATAAATTTTTCAAACTAAAATCACGACCCAAAATGTGAAAATTTAAAGCGTAATTATCAGGAGAATAAATCCTTAGCATTAAAAAATTTCTTAATGCATTTTCCTAGAGCCACATCCAATTAAAATAGTTGGGTGATTAGTCTGCAACGAAATCGCCTCGTTAATTCGTTTTGCTGTACAACTGACAGTGAATGGAAATTCTTGAAAAGTTTACAGTGTAAAAACTTTCTTTCTCGGTAAAGTTAATGTCATTACAGATTAAAATGTTTATATGGCTGACGCATTTGTCGAAAAGAATTATTTTTGTGAAATCAAGGGGATAAATAATTGACTAAAATATTTTCTCTCTTCGAAGGAAGTTAATACCGTTTGGGGTAATGAGAGAAGAAAAATTACGCTTTCTCTCTAATCTAAATGTAATGAATAAATGATAAATAACAAATAATTGACTAAATGTTTTCTCCTAAAATAGTATTAACAGTGTTTCAGTGAATTGAGCAATGGTATAAACGCAATCACGAAGTTATTATTTCTGGAAAACTGACCCTATAGACTCCATGATATTCCGGACACCGATCCAAATAAGGGGTTAACGAGTACTTCCTGACTTTACCGGAATACCGTTCAACAGCCGGTGTGAATAAAGAATACTTTCGTCCCTTCATTCCACTAAAACAACTCACTTGCTCGAATGACTGAATAATGGAAAAATAACACACCTGTTGAAGTTAACTCAATCGGTGACTAAACGTGGACTGATAGTAGCAGCAGGGCATATCTCCCTGAATCTCGTCAGAGATTAGAAGCTATTGATAATTTGACTCGTGGATATTACTGAGATAATACAATTGCATCGAGGCGGTTTATTTTCTTGGGAGTGGTGTTCTTTCATTGTATCCATGGAAATTCAATTATCTCGTGTTTGGGGAGTCTCGTAAATACCATTGCTCGATAATTCAATTTATTATAAAGTGAAAGTGCATTGTTTGCGTGATCGTACGAATCCATACTCTGATATCGACTCGACTTTTTTTCGTGACCTGACCCAGATAAAATAATAATTCAGGTGCACGAGTGAATTTTTAATGTCAGTTTTTGCAAGGTTATTTTGTCGTCTTATGTTTTGGGCTTATTGAGACAGTATTGAATTTTCAATGATAATTGATTTTCTTGATTGAGATTGGGAAATTAATTTATAGGGGTAACAGGTCATTTTGCAATCTTTTAACTCGTTTTTTGATAGAAAGAAGTCGATAGATAAAAATTTTTGCTGCTGCATTTTTTGTCTTTCATTACAAAATCTAAAAAAATGAATTGAATTTAAATAGCATTTCAAGAGAAATTCCATACATTTTTTGTTAATGTTAAAATTAAAAACTACTGTTCAATGAATGATTAACATTTTTTTTCAATTTTAAAATTAAATTTTCTCATTTTTTTGAAAATTTAACATTTAAGAAAAGTTAATCATTCATTGAACAGTTGATGGCACGATTAATAAATTTATTCATCAGTGAGGACATGAAAAAACTTCTCCAACTCAAAACTCAAATCCAACTAGTTTGAATTTAACAATCTAAATTATTCTATAAAATCATTTTTTTTTTACCTTTCGTTTACGTTCTTGAACAAAATCGATCCTTCGCACCCAAATATCTTCTGTGGATGAGTAATCTAAGGTACTGGAGCTGCTGGCTTGGCTCTTCATCTCAATCAAACTCGAGTCGAAGAACCTCTTATCAAAATGAGGACTCGGCAGAGGACTAGTTCGTGAAAAAATCATGCTACTGGAGTAGCTAGGTGGATCGGTGGCTGGGAAGGTCATCCCACCGCCAGCAGTGTGCCTCCTACGCAGAGGTGGTTTGCTGGATGTCGGTGATGTGACTGTCGTCGTGGTGAATCGTGAACCAGTTGATGCTGTTGGCGGTGGTCTCGAGTCCGAGACACTCGAGGTGGGATTCGACTTCTGATCAATTTTCTCAGAGCTCGATTTCGCCGATGAGGAGAGACTAGATGTCTTCGATGGCAGACTTTCAGATTTTTCTTGGGAATCTTGAGTTATTACTGGGGTTTTATCGTCGTCCTTGGTTCGTTTGGAAATGGTGTCACCAATTTTATCTGGAAAAAATTATTATTCATTTTTTTGAGAGATTTTTTAGATTAATTATCACCAATAATACCAGAATCCTTCTATTAATATGAGGTTTCGTTTAGAATTTATTCCAGATTTTAATCTTCAAAATTCAAGCTATGTTTATATTACTTCAAACCAACTCATCAGTGATCAGAAGTAATTATTCACATATAAAAAAATTTAATAGAAAATATTTTACAGAAAAATCGAATTAATTCCGAATGTATTTCTCCCAAATTTTTTCTTGCGTATTACCTTAATAATATTATCCCATAAAATCACCTGAACAATCAAATTTTGTTAATCTTAATTGAGATATGAACATCAACAATATAATAAAAATTCAAAATTGCCGATTGATCGCCAATAAAATATTTGGAAAATTTTTTGAAAAACGAAAAATTTGAAATTTATTGATTATTGATAGTAATGAATGTTCCCATATATTAAACGACTGCAACTCACTTTCTTCAGTCTCATATTCATCCTCCTCCCGACACTCCGAGAGTCGTCTCCCCCACGGATATGGACTATGAGTTTGATTTCTCGATGGCAATCTATTCACATGCGATAGAAAATAATGATGAAAAAAGCTATCTACACCATCCGAGTCCTCCCCAGAGCACTGCAGCATATCCTTGAGCGCTGCCAGTGACGTGATAGTATTATAATTAATAGTCGATACGAGATCATCGTCGATGTCACTGTCGTCAGTAGTGTCATCGTTCTTAGCGGGCTCCTCCTTCTTCTCAGCCGTTGTAACGAGTGTCCGATCAGCCTCTGGCTTCATCGATGACTCGGTCTTATCCTCCGAGCTCGTCTCGGATTCATCATCAGAGGACGATGTGGAGGTGGCTGAGGACTCATCGTCACGCTTCTCCTTCGTCTTCTCTCTGGTCTCCTTGTCAGAGCCCTTGGTGTCGTCTTCCGCGTCATTTGTAGCTTCGTCCATCGTCACTGCTGGTGCATCCACAGCATCTTTGATGCTCTCCAGGCTCTCACCGACTCTCGCCTCGCCATTCAATTCTTTCCCTATTATTCCATTAGTTTGCTTGTCATGTATTTCGGGGGTTTCCTTTTTTTCGTCACTCGGGCCTTCCATCTATGAATCTATAATTATATAAATTTGGGGATACATGTGTGTAAAAATTCAACATTTATAGAAAATTCGTAGCGAATTAGACAAATTTGCTGCGTTTTTAAAACATTTAAAAAAATCTGATGTTTTAATAAATAAATTCTAGTTTCGTTTTTTTTCGTCACTTGAGCCTTCCATCGATGAATCTATAATTATATAAATTTGGGGATACATGTGAATAAAAACTTCAACATTTATAGAAAATTCGTAGCGACTTAGACAAATTTGCTGGGTTTTTAAAATATTTTTAAAAACTCTGATGTTGTAATAAATAAATAAATGTACTAATCTATTATATTAATTATTCACATCCTGAGAAAATTTTCGAAAGCCCGAGGAGATTCGAAAAATTTATAAATGTTCTCAAACATGACAACGAATTTTTTAAAATATGCAAAAATTTTTAATTCATGAACTTAAAAAGCTCTCGTTATTCTTTTTCCTCTTCTTGGGGTGAGCCTCCCTGGAGGTACATCATCATTAACTACACGTGCTGATACATAATAAAAAGAAAGGGATGAAACGACAGACACTAATGGGCCACAAGCCAATATCACAACCGAGTGAGAGCTTGTTTACCACGAAACAGCGATGCCGAGTGATGCCAGCAATGTTCAGTCGTCAATCACTTACTGATTTAAACCACCGCCGTTACCCTATTGTCTAATTATATTTTGTATTATTGGTTGTTTCGTGACAATTGATCAGGGATAGCCGTATTCATAAATTATAATTACTGTTAAATTATTCAGTAGTCAATTGGTGGATATCTCTCTTGAATTTTAATTATTGAAGTAATCAACAATTTAAATAGTCAAATTTCGAATTATTCATTAATCAGTAGTTGAGTTAGGAAGATTGACGATTATTTGGGTAATCGAAAATCCCTTGTAAAAAGTTTAATATTATTTACTGGAGAGAAAATTTACAGTTCCATATTTTGAATGTTTAATTCATCATCAACTGGAAATTTAGATCAATAGTAAAATAATTGGTAAATTATTTTATTATTGATAGCAAAATAATAGTTTTAGTATTGATTATTTTACTATTTTAATAGTAAAATAATTTATCAATTATTTTGCTATTTTTTAATTTTGAAAAATTTTGTATTTAATAGTGAAGAATCGGGAGATTAATGCATCCCTGCAATTGATGGACTAAAGACACAATGATTTAGATCGAGGTGTTTACCTGAAGTGGGGGTTTCGAGACTACAAAATCCTGGAATTTCGGCTGGCTGCCTTTGCTCCCTTAGCTCTTCAGGTGTATTGTTTCATGAGATTTTTTCTCGAGGGAATAGACCGGAGGAACAACGACATCGAGGCGACCGGGTTGGCCTAGAGATTCTCCCCTGGAATACCAATTTCCGTATTTTTAATGCATAAACTTGACGTAAAAAACGAATTATGCTAACGACATTCGCCAGAACTTGTCGCATTTTGATTATCGTTTTATTTCTTTGTTTGTTACGTTCTGCTGTTGATCGTCATCAAAATGCTCATTTAATTCATTTCTAATTGATTAATTCACATTAATCTCGACTGAATAAGTTGTATAAAAAAATCAAATCCTATTGATTTTTACCACAGAATATTTTCCATAGTAAATTTTCCCTAAAAAAACAGATGAGCTGCAGAATTGTTCAATAGACTCGGCAAAAAGCTGATAGGAATTCAATTGAATTTCCTACCGAATTCCCCAGGATTTTTCATAATTTATTGCACATAAAAACGCGCATTTCCGCTGAATTTTGAAAGAACAAATAAATAAAAAAGTAAATAAATTTGACTTTACCATCACAGAACCACTCCCCTTGTATTTCTAATTCAATTAAGACTCCGTGTTTGGCATACATTCAGTCATAGATCTCACGAGTTACGTGTTTTTTTAATCAAGTTAAGTGGATTCAGCTCGCACGTTTGAGATACGTTTTTAATTGAAGACATGAGATACGTTCTTCCAGAATAAGCTCTTGAGATACGAGTTTGCGTGCGGAAGATTTGAGATACGTTATTTTCACAATTTTCATTAAATTCCCTCCAGGGCGCATTGAAACGAGGAATGAAGTACGAGATTTCGCTGTTGATTGCATCCTCTGATCGATTAAAACCCACCAATTGTGGAAAACTCCATCAATTAGTAATGATACCGTTGTAGATTAAAACGACTGGCAATGCGAGACCGCAAATAAATTCCCCACGTGCAATCGCTATCTCGTCCATTTTCTCCATCCACAAATATTTGAATAATTCGCTTTTACCATTGAACACTCAATATCAACAAACAACCTCATCACGTTGGGAATGAAATGAATAAAAACAAACGAATAAGCAAACTAATCAATTAAAAATCAATTAAGGCCCGGGTGTAGTATCTTTCGAATGTTATCAGGATTTTTTTTATCTTTTGTAATCCAAAATTGTCAATTGAGTGGTACATCATGTAGAAATTCCCAAAAATTATGATAGAATAATTAAAAAAAATAGAAAAAATTCTGAACTTTTTTAAAGAGTTTTAAACTATTTTTAATCGAGATTCAGAATGAGTTGAAAAAAGTGGAAATTACAAATATCTGGTTCGCTGTGGCAAATTATCTATTAGCTGTCATTTTTCATGGTGGATAACAAAATACTAACTCCTCATGGGAAGTGACAGCTAGGTATCTCAATTTTCAAAACAGTGGTATGTAGTCATCTGCCATTTTTATGTGATAAAAGTGTGATTAAAAAATTCTCCAAAATATTACAACTTTTTTCAAAGAGCCTTTTCCGTAATAAATGTCTCTGTGCAGTGTGGGAAAAGATTTACGAAATCAGTCTTCCCCCTTCATGATATTGGGTGAGAGGCCGGCATTTGTCACCGTAAATCAGATACATTTGTCAATTTCTTGTTATTCAACTTATTCTGAATATAAATAAAAAATGCTCTTTGAAAAAATTAAGAATTTCTTCTACTCTTGTTTTATTATTCATTCATAATTTCTCAAAATTTCTGCACGATGCAGGACTCAATTGACAATTTCAGATGACGAAAGATGAAAAAAAACATCGAGATAACGTTCGAAAGATAGTACACCCGGACCTTAAATGAACATTTTAGTGAAGGTAAATAGCAGAGCGTAACAAACAAATAAAACGACAATCGAAAGTAATTGAATGTGAACGACGAAAGTTTTTGTAATAATTTACATAAAATTATGTAAAATGGCTGTACCACCCAAACAAAGCGCTAAGTTCCGCCTTCCTCGAGACAAAAGGAGTTAATTCATGAAATTTCAAAGAATTTCCTTTCACATCCGTTCCCAGATCTTCGCACCTCAGGCAACAATAAACCGCATTCTATCTATCTACGAAATCTATGAAACAACCGCAACGTTTAATGTTTAGAATGAGCTTGAGAATTCCAGCTTTCATCAAAGCCTCAATAGGAGGCTGGGGTAAAACGGACACTTTTCACTTTTTTTGTTAATGAGGGGTTCAAATGTTGAAATTTAATAATTTTTTTTTCAGTACAAAGAACAACTCTTTCCCTTTGTGACGAGCCTAAACTGAGCTTAATTGATAAATTTGTTTCTGAGTGATAAATAATTTTAAAGAAGTCTAAAGTGTCCATTTTACCCCACCCTCCCCTAATCATTTCCCCCCAAAATCCCAATCTCACTGAATTCCAAGATGATTAACAAATTTCATGAACGATTCGACGTTAAATTAAATTCAAATTCTTAAAAATCAAAATTCAGCAGCGGTTGATGCTTAAATTTAAAAAATTTCAACTCATGCCTGTCCTCCGAGGATCTTTGTACCTCACGCTATAAAAAACGCGCTCTACCTCAGCAACCTGAACCCCAATAATCGCCTCAGACCATTCCTAATATTCCCACGGACGAATAAATAATCACAGAACACTGTACCCCTCTTCTCCACCATCCAAAGAAAACACTTCAATAGCCCCTTCCCTCCCCATCGAAATCAGCACATGAACATAATTGCATTAAGATAAGGCGTTATTTATCACAAATGAATACGTTTCATTTCCCTAGAAAAAAACCGACTCCACAAGTTTACAAAACACCCACCCACACCAGCACCTCAATTTCCCCGAGTATTTCAGTAACACCCGAAAAAATCCGACAACTTGAAATAGCCCAATGGAGCACCTATCCCCTATCAAACGTAGCGAATATCTCACTTGTTGTCCGCCACTTATAAGTTATCCCCGTCACCAATACCCACTCTCAACAAATGTTTTCAGGCTTCCTGCACGAATCCACGTGAACAAAAAAGCCACATACGACACGAATACCTGGAATTACTCAGGTATTCGATTGCAACATTCTCGCTAATTTCCTCCCATTCCTAGAGCCCAGCATTCCCAACAATCCGCAATAATTCTCACCCGATTACTTACTCAGATATAAATACACCGTCCGAATTAGGAAAATGCGGATAGAAGCCTTGAATCGAGAGTCAAACGCTGACGATGGAGTAACGAGACTGAATATCATAACCTTCATAATCGCCAATGTTTCTGTATTTTTATTATGGCACTCCTGTTGTACAATTTGCAACAGAGTAATTGTGGTCGTGGAGAACCGGTGTAGCCTTGCACATGTCTCAGTGATGTGAATATTAATGGGAAATAATTACCGATGAGTGAGTGAGCCCCTGGATCCACGCAGAACTGCACGGAATTAACGGGTTGTTGCAACCCCCCCCACTCGAATGGTTCAACTGTTCGGTCGGTCGGGGAAACCTTCACTGAGAAAACCCACTTCCGTATCCCGTTGGCCTTTTTTTCACTTTATTATGTGCGAATGGCGTGCAATCATTGCTGGGGTTTTGTGGGGACTGTGCATAGTGTAACACAAAGGCGAATCCACAAATCACTTGGGTAGGAGGGATGTGGCATGGTCAACTGGACGTTTCGACACACTGCGGGACTGCCGAACAGCTGACCGCAACATTTGGTGCGTGCGCCCCCCGTTTGCTCACGGCGTGCGTCACTTCCTCGTGCCGGAGGACTCGAGATATCACTCATCTGAGTTTGATGGTCTTTATTTTCGGAGGATCGATGGGGCAGCACGTTCTGGCTACTTTATTTATAATTTTTTTGGAAATTGATGAAATGTGAATTTGAGAAAATGCGAGTAATCGCTGGGGGGGGGGGGGG